AGTGAAACAAGGGCATAACTCCAGAAGAAATTAACGGAAATTGCTGAAATTCAATAGGCTTCTTCATTTCACTAATTTAAATGATGCATATCAATTTCATACAGATCGGTTGATAAGTTTTGTCATTAGAGCGTTCACAAGATTCAACAAAGTGAAACTAGATGTAATTAACGGAAATTGCTAAAATTCAATAGGCTTCTATGTTTTACTAATTTAAATGATGCATATAAATTTCATACAGATCGGTTGATAACTTTTGTCATTTGAGCGTTCACAAGATGCAAAAAAGTGAAACAAGGGCCATAACTCAGGAAGAAATTAACTGAAGTTACTGAAATTAAATAGGCTTCTTCATCTCACTAATGCAAACAACATATATCAATTTCAAAACAATCAGATGATAAATGTAGTCTGTAGAGTGTTCACAAGAAATTGTGGACGATGGACGGACCGACGGACGGGTGCGACGGCAATATACGACCACATTTCCATGTGGGTGTATAAAAAGGGAGTGTTTAATTTAGGTTTTCTGGAAAGTTGCAAGCATGTAATAAATTTCCACCATATTCAGCCATAATGAATTCATATGGTATGAGCCATGTTTGGACAGGTGACTGGTATTTTTTTTAATCCAAAAAATGCTATTACATATTAGGAATTCTCTTAAGTCAATCATTTTTAATCCGCAATTTTTATTGTTCTGTTTAAGAATATCTCACTTTATTCTATCAGGTCCGTTCCATATAAATTTGTAAAATATTGAATTTAGTTTTTGAATAATAGAATCTGACACTGGATTAACAGTTGCCGGGTAAAGAATTTTTGAAATACAACATGATTTAATTATTTATATTTTTCCAATTAAAGATAATTTATGTTTATCCCATACTTTTAATATTTGTTCTATTTCAGTTATTTTATTGAGTATTCCTGCTTTCCATTCAAGTGTCATCAGTGCGCAATGGTGCAGCGGTGACTCAGTATGGGGCAGGCTCACTTACCGGGCAGTCCAGGGTTTGATCCTGGTCCGGCGTGGTTTGATCCCATGTTGACCTAGACAGTTCCCCAAACTTTCCAGCGTTGTTTCCCCTTGTCAGTGGTGCAAGAAGGGGGTGGGACTGTGGTGGTCAGCATCTAGTTATTTGGATGGAATATAAAACTGAGGTTGGCGTGCACGTAAAAGAACTTGAAATTCGAAATAAAGAGTAGACCGTAACGTTGCTGTTTGGACCAAATTCCCCCAATAGCATAATGTATGTACATCGTCATTATCCCCGTTGATATCGAACAGTTAGGCATTAAACTCCATCTGAGTTTTTTTTCTCTTCATTACAATTGCCACTCCCATACAGTAATATTTAGGTTTTGCCATATATCTATTTTAGTGAGAAAATTACATATTTATAGATGCTTTGTTTCAATTCAAATATTTGTTAGGAATTTAGCCCCAAATCTAATCTGAACTACAGGTTTACAGATATCTTAGTAGAAATACTGTTTTGGTAGAATTTATATGCGACCCCGCCCCATCCCCCCCTCCCCTTGCAGATTCGGTGAACCGTCTATTTTTCGGGCACAAACATCAGAGAATTGAGAATGCGACCACATATCATGGAAAAATACTTGTATAATTGTGTAATTAATTAAAAAAAAACAAATGAAACAGCTTTGTGTTAAAATTCATTTTATTCATAGATTCATTCAGAAAATTCGGGTGACAAAGAAAATTTTCGGGCAAATAAACTCAGCCCCCAACCTACCAACTGCCATTGGCCACCTACTCCCATGTAGCCCCTTACCTGTTATTCAATCCGATTCAGTTTGTTGAATCAAATATTGTTTAAACTATTGTTTTCCCTCCCATTCATATGACTGGGCATTGTCATTCCAGGCCCCTTCCCATCCCATACCACTGACAGGGTGAAACCGCACATTGTGTTCTTGTACATGTACATAACTAATCTGTGTAAGTGTAGTAAATGTAAAGATAGGTTGCCAGGCAACGAAACATACGCCCACAGCAGCTATATCGTCCGGGCAGTCAACAAGAGTTGTCACATATTTTTCCTTTTTTTGGTAATGAAACATTTATAATACATTAAAATCTGATTAAGAGTAACAACTCATTAAGTAACTATCAGAAAACCATTAGAATTTGTTTGGTTTTTATAACGTTATGCCCCATGCTAACGTTTAGTATACAAAACTTTTAACATCATGGATTTAGATATTCAAGTCATAAAGATTCTTGAAAATCAATATACTTGTTCGTCTCAAGATCTTAAACACTGTGTATAAATTTAAAGTCAATCGGATAGTAACTTTAGCCTCTAGAGTGTCCACAAGATTTTTCAAAGTGATCAAGGGCCATGACTCTGGCAGTAATTATCGGAAATCGCTGAAAATCAATAGGATTCTTCGTCTCATGACCTTATACACTGTGTATAAATTTAAAGTTAATCGAATATTAACTTTGACCTCTAGAGCGCCCACAAGATTTTTTGAAGTGATCAAGGGCCATAACTTCGACAGTAATTATCGAAAATTGCTGAAATCAATAGGCTTCTTGGTCTCATGACCTTAAACACTGTGTATAAATTTAAAGTTAATCGAATATTAACTTTGACCTCTAGAGCGCCCACAAGATTTTTTGAAGTGATCAAGGGCCATAACTCCGACAGTAATTATCGAAAATCGCTGAAAATCAATAGACTTCTTTGTCTCATGACTCTAAACACTGTGCATACATTTAAAGTCAATCAGATATTAACTTTAGCCTATAGAGCGTCCACAAGCAATTGTGGACGCTGGACTGACGGACGGATGGGGGCGACAACAATATACGACCACATTTCAATGTGTGCGTATAAAAAATGAAACAAAAAGACTGTTAAAGAAACCTAATTTGATGTTTATACATGTAGTGACAGCATCAGCAGTCAACACCCACCTATTATCAATTGCAGACATTTGACAGAAAGGCAGATAACTCTCTATTACCTTTAATGTATTTCCATATTCTGTATGTTCCCTTGTCCATTATGTTTTCTGCATTTTGGTTTAAATCAAAATTTAAACAATATCATATTCTTTGTCGAGGATGAAGGCATTGGGTGTTTTCGCCAATATTTAATTTGAAGTCAACTTCATAATTGTTAGAGTAAATATAGCATTGTCACAATTTTCATCTGGCCCTAAATCGAGTTATTGCAGAAATTTTGCTTGGAACTCTCTGGGAGGACCTTGTAGCGGAATTCTTGTTCTAAGCAAGCTAGAAATTTTGGCTGAAAATATTGTACACGCAAAAACTTATTTTAATTGAGTCGTGTGACGAAGTAACAGAACAAACATATAGCTGTGGCGGCTTCTTTGATAAACAAGAAATTAAACTTGATTACCCAATCAACAATCTTAATCTCCTGGGCACTAACACAAAGGTGCTAATTAATTGGTGAGATTAACAGAAGTTATTCCCATAAAAGTTATAATATACAAAACCTATATTTTGCCAATGTATCGACTATTCTCTTTTGTTCTAAATTATAACACCGAGAAAAATATTAAGCGAAAAAGTAACGAATATATGGTGTGGTTGCTATGTGATTTTGTTTTAGAACGTCTGAACATACCAACATCTTTAATTTGCTTTTTCTCAAAACTTTTCTGACTTGGGCCACTTCAAACGTATATAGCTCAGTCAATTGTTGCCCGATTGGCACAGATGTCTCACTAGCGCTACATGCTGTGGGATTGTTTGCCAATGACTTTGAAGTGCCTGTGCCAACTCTGCAACAGTTTGTGGTGGCACAGCTTGAGTTCGAACCCGTCATCCAAGTTCATCCCAAAGGTGTTCGATCGGGTTCACGTCGGGAGACATAGCGGGCCAATCCATAACACGGACACGATGATTGTTCAGAAAGTCTCTTGTCAACCTGGCAGTGTGGGGTCGGGCGTTGTCATGCTGGAAAACCATCTGTCGACAAACGCCATGTTGAGCCAGCAATGGAAGCAACACCGGACGAAAAATGGCGTCAACATAATGTTGAGCATTGAGATTGTCTTGGACCACCACCAACTGGGATCGCAAGTTGACGTTGATAGCGGCCCAAATCATGACGCCACCTCCCCCGAAATGATTCCTTTCCAGCACGCCGTTATGAGTAAAGCTTTCATGTCAACGTCGGTAGATACGGTGACGCCCATCAGGAAAACTGAGGTTGAATCGGATTCATCCAAGAAGATGACATTTCGCCATGGTGTGTTGTGCAGATACCCCTGATTTTGCGGCCCATTCCTGTCTGCCAAGTCGATGACGATGCAAAAGGATTTGACCTTGGTAAGGTCAACGGCAGCGTAACCCAAGAGCAGCCAGACGCCTTCGGACTGTTTGAGGGCTGATCTGACGTTGCCGGGTTCCAACAGTTCCCCTGGCAGTAGCAGTAGCTGACTGGAACCTGTTGCGCAGATCCTGTAGTCGGATGTGGCAATCTTGAGCAGTGGTTGTTACAGGTGGCGCTCCAGGTCGGGGTCGATCGGCAACTCTTCCAGTGGCGTGGAAGCGTTGTCTGAGGCGAGCAATGGTCGATGGGTGGACATTAAAGTGTCAGGTAACAGCTACCTGTGAAACCCCCTGATCCAGCATGCCAAAAGCTCTGTTCCTGTTTTCTTTTGTAAGGTGTGGCATTTTTCCAAGTGATGAATGTTGAAATTTTGATCTGTATTTAAAGGGCCAGAGTGCAGGGAATGCACATGCAAAACGTGTGACATGGGACTGCTTAAAATCATGAAAGAAGACAAGTGTTGCATTTGTGAAAACAAAGTTCATTACCTAGAACTGATATTGGGTTCATACCAAGAACTCCACAAAAAGAGACCAATCACAAGTTTCACCTACGTGCCATAAAATAGGAAAGCCCTATAAAAACGTTTACCAGAAATATTTAATGAATTAGACATTGCGTTTTTAATGGCTTTGAGTGTATAAATTGTCTTCCACCTACTTCACCAAACAGCTGTTTCATTGCCATGGTTATACTTCTTTTGATAGATAACAAATCAACAGTTTCCACATTGTTTTCAAATTCCCTAATATAGAAAACACAAACAAAAATATATTACAATGACAACTTTAACTTTATTATGTCTAGTTTATATATTACCCAGGCATAAATAGAAAGGTGAACATTTCAAAGCAATTATGATGGATTAGTATAGTATCAGGCCCGGATCCAGGATTTCGTCGAGGGGGGGGGGGCATACATTGGAGCAAAGGGTAATCATCAGAGTGCCGCATGCATTAGTGGTTTGGTGTAGTCACCAGAGTCTTCGTCGTGGCCTGGGAATCCCATTGCTGGCTGCAGGTGCTGGTCTGAACAGTGACGACCAGTCTTACTGGGGCTGAGCGGGGGGCCACGTCCCCCTGGATCCGCGCCTGAGTATTAATCTATTTAATGTGTGTAATAAATGGTTTCGACTACCCGATTGTATGTGACAAGGAGTAGGGTGGCCTGTCCAACCTTGAGGGTTTTCTCCGGGTCCTCCAGTACCCCCTTTCCCAACTATTAAAGACCGCTACGCACAAGTGAATTAGTGAATAAAATAGAACCATACGCTAGTCCCGAAATGACCTAGTTTATGTCAATCTCAGATTTCTTTCTCTCAAATAAAACCAGCGGCTGCCAGGCAGGATACGCCCACATGTTGCAAGAGATGGATAGAGAACAAGCTAAAAACAAAAACAAGTTTTTGTACAATCAGGGTCATAATCCAGAAAGTTATGGTCTGAAATGCGCAAATATCAAAAGGGACTGAGATTTTTGGAATATAAAATTTAGATAAAAATTGTGACCTCTAGAGGGTCCATAACCTTTGAATTACATACTTACATACAATTTACATACAAAGAGCGGCCATTTTGTCAGCAGTTTCATTTCGATTTTCCAAAAATTCCAATTCAACCTTCATTATGGTGGAATAGTGATCTAAACGGTTTTTAAAATCGAAAAACAAATTGTGACCTCTAGAGAATCCACAAGTTAAAAATGTGATTTTTTCGACCAATCACGGACCATAATCCAGGAAGTTACGATCCGATATGCGCTAATATCGAAAGGACCCAGGATCTTTGGGTTATAAACATGTATTTCAAGTTTAATCAAAATCGGATCAAAATTGTAACCTCTAGAGTGTCCACAAGCTAAAAATGCGATTTTTCGTACAATCAGGGGCCATAATTCATGAAGGTTCGATCCAATATGCGCGAATATCAAAAACAACCAAGATCTTTGGTTATAAACATGCATTTCAAGTTTCATCAAAATTGGCACAAAATTGTGACCTCCAGAGAGTCCACAACAGGGCTTCCACTTCAAAATTTTCCCAACCGGTCATTTTTCTCATGTAGAAAGTGGTGCTATTTTTAGCACATAATAAGAAGTCAAAAACTACATGCTATTGGAATGTTGATCGGCTTTAATTGGGTCAAGAACAGTCACACAAAAATCCAATCTCACATCGACATTATAAATAAAAGAACACATGTAATCAATTATCATCATTTATTTATTTATTCATTCATAAAATATAAAAGTAACATGATACATTCATTCATCACACTATTTTCCTAATTTGTTTACAATATTGCCCATATATATTTGTCGGTTTTTACAAGATTTCCATGTCTGTAAAGTGGTGGTCCCTCCATAGAAATCCTCATTAATTCGTCAAGAGTTTTCATGCTCAAGGAACATCGTAACTTGGTTTTTATTACGTTCTGGCGTGAGAAACCCCGCTCGCAGTCAACACTGCGTACGTGACGAATTCGACTGTTGACTATTTCTCCATACACGGGGAAAAAGTAGTTCCAAATGATTAGCTCACGTAAATATACTGAGCGCCATGGAAAACGCATCACTTTTTTTCACAAATATTTTATTACTAGGTGGGTTTGTATGTATAATATTATGCAGTACTATGAACTATTGTTTCACACAATGCTCCCAAACACAAAAAATATCGGCCCGTGTGCACCAAAAAAAATTGCACAAGATGCACATGAAAAACCCAATATTCACGTGCAGCATTGTGTGTGAGCCCCTTTAAAAGCATGTTTTTAACTTAATGTGCAGTACCATGAACTGTGAAACGTCAATCTGTCGTAATTTGTTGTTGGACGTATGAAGGAATCGAGCTAGGGATGCCGAGACTTACTGAAAATCAACAAAATGAAGCCATGGGAATGTCCAGGGCTGGCATGTCTACACGTGCTATTGCCAGACACTTCAATTGTCATTAGTCCACTATTGTAAGGTTGGTGTAACGTGTTAGAGTTACTGGATCAACACGTGAGCGTCAACGGCCTGGTCCACAACGCGTTACAACCCAGGCTCAAGACCGCTACATCCGGGCCACTCATCTGCGTGACAGATTCCGCCCAGCAACTCAAACAGGTGCAGCAGTCGTCGGAAGACAAGGACCAGTAAGTGCCAACACTGTAAGACGTTGTCTAAGAGAAGTAGGACTCCGTGCACGACGGCCTTATGTTGGAGCTATCCTCAGGGATCATCACCGTCAGCGGCGTTTGATATGGGCTCAAGGACACCAGACATGGAGAAGAGTAGACTGGCAAAGTGTGCTCTTCAGTCATGAGAGTCGCTTTCATCTTTATCACCCTGATGGCCGTCAACGTGTGTGGAGACGTCTTGGGGAACGTCTTGCAGACTGCTGCATCTTCAAAACGAATCGATGGGGTGGGGGAAGTGTAATGGTGTGGGGAGGCTTCACATTTCATCACCGGACCGCCCTACACATTAATGCTGTAGCCTACCGTGATGATGTCTTGCAACCAATTGTTGTTCCGATGTTTCGAGCGCACCCACAACTTCAGCACTTCCAACAGGATAATGCACATCCGCATACCACCCGTTTTAGTATGGACTACCTGGCTGCTAACAACATCAATGTCTTGGACTGGCCAGCCATGTCTCCGGACATGGCACCGATAGAACATGCCTGGGATGGGATTGGACGCCGTCTGTATCGGAGACCACAGATACACACCATTGCTGCTTTAGAAGCAGCTCTTGTCCAAGAATGGAACAATTTGCCCCAGGCCTTCTTTCAAACATTGGTAAATTCCATGCGACGTCGCGTAAGAGCCCGAGGAGGACACACACGCTACTGACATCTATGTCATACTTTTGGTTTTGACCCCTCTGACTTTGTACCGTTGATTACAGATTAAACATCCTTAAGTGTACAAATGTGTTGTTATTGATGTGTTCCTATTTGAATATTGTTCACAATAAGAAGCAAAATAAATAAGAGATGTGTACAGGATCATTTTGTTGTACGAAAAACTAAGTGATGCGTTTTTCATGGCACTCAGTATAATTTAAAGTCATAAAAATGTACAATAATTAACATAATTCTTAAACTTATCAATATATTAACTTGTATTGATATTTTGTGAGCTCAAATAATATCATGCTAGTATTTTCACTCGATAACATGTCAAGATGTTTGCACATATTTCAAAAAGGTGGCCAGCGAAAAAGTTCTTTGTCAAGCAAAGTGACTTCTAGCAATTGTTATATAAAAGAAAAAAAATTGATTAAAAACACACCTGGCAATACACCTTTTGTGTGGGAATATCATATCTTAACCACGGGAATATTTGTGACCATTTAGTAGAGAATTTACGGCTGACTTTGTTTTTCGGAGCGGAACTATCTTCCTCGTGGGCCGGTGTTGAAGAAGGGAGGTCGGATTCATTGATGGCAATATCATCATCTCGCTTTCTTTTGTTATTCTGGGAGGTGAGGAATTTCAACATTTGATTTGTTTGATGTTGATACAGTAAATATGGCCGCACGAGTGATGAAAGTCGGCAAATACGCTGTAACAACAACTCAAATTAAAGAATGATCACAGTATTACTAATTATAAAACAAAACACACACACCTAAATAAATTGATTAAATGTTAAGCTTTTGATCTGTTTGATGTTAATCCTCTGTGTGATTAGGGCAACATACACAAGGATAATTAATTGGCAGTGGTTTCCATTCGAGGGCTACTGAACACTGTTAATTTTATTATACCCGACAGTTTACATCACGACACGCATAGAGTTTCCTCGTGTCCGGGGATTTTATGATTTAGCACAAAATATGCTATTTTTCCAGCGTGCAAAATGACCTACTGGTCTGATCCAGTTTCAGTCATTTTCCAAAGCCCTCGGTAACGACCGGCATATACGGCCGACATGGAACCCACGGTCCACAACTTTGATATACCAGATATTTACACTATTTGCGTATGAGGGGCGGCCATTTTGTCGGTCAGTTTTGGTCTGATATTTACGAAATTCAAACTCAACCTTCGTCAGGTATAACGGCCATAATTCAGGACGTTACAATTCGATATGCGCAAAAATTGAAAGGAACCAAGATCTTTGGGTTACAAACACGTATTTCAAGTTTCATCAAAGTCGGATTAAAATTGTGACCTCTAAAGGGTCCACAACCTTGATTCACTATATTTTTACACTATTCGCGGCGACCATTTTGTCGGGCAGTTTTGGTCAGATTTTCATGACATTCGAGGTCAACCTTCATTACGATGTAACGGTGAAATAATCAAACGTTTTTTTAAATCGGATAATCATTGTAACCTCCAGAGGGACCACAAGCTAAAAAAGGTGATTTTTCGTACAATCAGGGGCCATAATTCAGGACGTTACGATTCGATATGCGCAAATATCGACAAGAACCAAGATCTTTGGGTTATAAACATGCATTTCAAGTTTCATCAAAATCGGATCAAAATTGTGACCTCTAGAGTGTCCACAAGCTAAAAGCGTGATTTTTCGTACAATCAGGGGCCATAATCCATGAAGTTATGGTCCGATACATGCCAATATCCAAAGGAACCGAGATCTTAGAGAGATAAAGCTATATTTCAAGTTTCGTTGAATTTGGATAAAAATTGTGACCTGTGGTGTGTTCACAAACAAATTGTGGACGGACAGACAAATAGGGGCGACGACAATATAAGTCCACATGAAAATGTGGGCATGTAAAAACTTAGCCAGCAAGTCAAATTTTTTGTGTATTTTGTTTATATCAAATCGACAATACAGTTTTATTCTATAGAATTTCCATATTATTACTGTGTGATGTTAAGACTAGATTCTCACATAACTATCATCATTACTTGCTACATGGTAAGTAATAAACAGTAATTGTATTCCACAGAATTGTGTCCTGTTTATTTCTAGTTCAATTACTAAATGCAATTGAAACACTGTGCTTATGATTAAAGACATAACTTTATGACACATAATTAATTGACTAATCGGAGCAGAACAGTAGGGAGAGAGAGAGAAATGGGGTTTAACGTCCACTCGACACAAACTAGGTCATTTCGGGACTAACATATGGTTTAATTTTATTTCAATAATTCGCTTGCGCGTAGGGGTCTTTAGCAGTGGGAGGAAACCGGAGGACCCGGAGAAAACCCACGAGGTTGGACAGGTGGCCCTACTCCTTGTCACGTACAACCGGGGATTCGAAACCACGCCAGTCGACTCAATGACAGACTTTATGATACAGCGCGCTCACGCTAACCATTCAGCCATCCAACCCCCCAGAACAGTAGGACTAAACCCCATTTCATTTCTTAATGGTCAATTCCATTGCCAGCCAATTAAGCCCTACTATTATAACCACAATGTAGAGCTGAATACTGTGGCTATGAATCGTACTGCAGTATACAATGGTAATTGTTCAGTACCATGTTACATAACTGTATAGTAATCCACAAGACTGACCCAGAGAAATAAATGATCATACCTAAAGTAAAAGAATTGATTTAAAATTATCAGTATGGCTATGTAACTTTTACTTATCACATATAGGATTTAATCAATTATAACAAGCAAGATATTGACTACATATGCAATATACAGCAAATATGAGTTTTTCAGGTAGTTCCCCAGAGTTAAAGTAATACAGTTTAAAATGTGTATCTCCTTGACAAAAGTGTCATCCATTGTTGACAACAACTTTTTAGATATGCCTGCAAACTGATGTCATCTATGTGTCATTGTCTACTTAAATGACATTCCATCAAAATATTGGTTTTGCTGTGTACAGTCAGGCTTTCAAATTTTGAATAATAATCTGTAAAAACTTGAGATGTCTAAATTAATACTAAGTTGTTTGGAAATAAGGCAACATTTACCTAAAAGGGTAAACATCATTGGATCTTAATTCTTCTGCCAGTAAAAAATATCTACAAATAATGACATACTCTCAAGAATAATTCTTCCCAGCACAGAGGATTCCTTTCCTTTGAATTATTTTATTGATGCAGACAAATGTAAGCTATAAAGGGTTCCCAATACCCAATATCTTAACACAACAGCAGGAAAAGTGTATTCTTTCAATTGGCTATGAATTTAAGGCCTTGGGACACAAGTCACAATCCTTCAACAACCAATGCAAGTAGTTTTCGTACAGCTCCTTTCAGTGTTTATAATGGAAAATGACCGAAACTAGATCTGACCAATCAGTCAATTGCACGTGGTCGGCATTTCTAATGCAGCAACTGCCCGAAATGGTGCGAAATTGAGTTAAAATGCCTGGACTATGGGGGCTATGGAAAATGACCGAAACTAGATCTGACCAATCAGTCAATTGCACACCGGAAAAATAGCATATTTTTCAAAACCCCATTTTCAAACATGGCTAAGATCGACCTCTGCTTTTTAACTATAAAATTGTATGGCTTGTACAGAATAATGTACACATATAGAAATGAAATGAAATGGGGTTTAACGTCCTACTGTTCTGCTCCAAATTGGGCTAATGAAGACAGGCATACGCCACACAGTGTGCTATGAGGGAAATTTTGCCCAGACAGCGGCACTACGGCCTACTCTTATATCAAATTTCAACTGTCAAGGGATCTTTTACGTGCATGCCAATGTCAACACAGGACCTCGGTTTTTCGTCCCATCCGAACGACTAGACAGCTGTCCTTGTCAGGCTCTCCGTCCTGCATCACTAACAAGGGGGAATCACGCCGGAAAATCTGGATGGACTTTGCCGGCCAATGCAGGGATCGAACATACACGTATAGAAGCGACACAATCTCATTATTGTTGTTATAGTCGGCAACAGATTATACTGAGTGTTGTGTAGATAATTAATGATAGTAGTAGAAGAATAAAAGTTAATTGCTATGTGGGAATCTTATCAATGGCTTAAAGCGGTCCATTGTTAGTCAATCACCATTTGAGAATTTTAAGTATTTATAGCCATTTTGAAAGACAACATGAACAGTATAATTAATTAAATATATATTGGAAACACTTACAGTGAAACAGTCAGATAAAAATATGGTAGAGGCTTTTTACAGTCAATTCTCTTATATGTAACATTATTTTTCATTCTGGTGTCTTTAGTCTTTTACAAAATATATATTTGTAATGAACTAACTTTTCACCATTATCAGTTCTTCATTTTCAGAAAATCTGTATCACTATAAGCCATTCATTAAATATTTCTGAAATAAAAACATAATACCTGTAAGACACAAAATTGGCAGTAGGCCTACAACTAATGACTTTTTTTTATAAAATGAGCTATTTAAATGTTTTTGATACGGGGGAGGGAGCCACAGTGGCTCACTGATTGTGGTCATGGCTCACACCAAGGCAAGTTCTTAAGGATTTTCCTGCATGGTTTTCCTTTGTCGTAGTGTACGACAATGGACCTTACAATAATACAGGGCCGGCGGAAGCAATTCTTGATTGAGGGGGGGGGGGCTACCATTTTAGGACTTTAGACTAGGGTCCAGGGGCTGCATAGGTCCCGGTAGCTCCTGGGGATCTAGAGACGCTTTCTGGCTAATGAAATTAATAAGCAATAAAGTGAAATTTTATTTTTTTTCCAAATCCTTTACCGTGCAAGCACATTCGATTGTGGCTTACTGCGATGCTGAACTTGACAAATATATGCCTAATAATTCCAAGGTTGTGGACACTCTAGAGGTTACAATTTTTATACGATTTTGATGAAACTGACAGTGTATGTTTATAACCGAAAGATCTCGACATTTTTAGCTTGGGGACCCTCTAGACCTCACAGTTTCTATTTGATTGTCAAAACCATTCAAATATATTACCACTGCACCATAATTACGGCTGAACTCCACTTTCGTGAAAATCAGACCGAAACTGCCTGACAAAATGGATGCCACCCTTAAAAGCATGTAATACCCAGGTTGTGGGCCAGAGGTTCAAATTTTCATCAAATTTTGATATATCCTAAAGGCCTGAATTCCTTTCGATATTGGCATGTATTTGACCGTAGCTTTCTGGATCATGGACCCTAATTTATGAAATATCACATCTTTAGCTTGTGAACCCTCTGAGTCTGGAGGTCACCATTTTTATCTTATTTTCAAAACCGTTCAAATGTATCACTGTTACACTGTATATATATGGTTGAGTCCAAATTTCCTGAAAATCGGACCGAAACTTTCAGTCAAATGGCCACTCTCCTTTATGCATATAGTATAAAAGCACATAATACCAAGTTTTATCCGATTTAGATGAACTTAAAACGAGTTTAATTTTGGGGCACATTGGCCCCTCTGCCTTTTACGCAAAATGTGAAATATGAATGAAGTTTGTGAACCTTCCCGAGGCTACAATTTTTGTCCAATTCATGAGATGAAACTTAAACTTTGTGTTAAGGATCAAAAGTTCGACTTTGGTACACAGCAGACCTCACATTCTAGAGCTATAGGCCCTACCTTTTACGCAAGATGTGAAATATGTATGAATTTTTAGGCCGTCCAGAGGGGCTACAATTGTTGTCCCATTCTGATGAAACTTAACAAATATGTTAAGGAGCAAAAGATCTTGAATGCGAATGAGAGGATGAACCCTATTGATTTTACCTCTTCTCTATACATTTCTTGGAAAATGTGGTCGTATTGTACATGGAAACCGCTTCTTTTAACTGGTCATAACTGATAGCAGTGAATTATTTAATAGATAATGGACACAGGGAAAGAGTTTTGAGAAAAACTCTATCCCGTCGGTTTTTTTAAAAATTACCTAATTTGTCATAGGGGTTGAAATAAGGATTGACTGATCAGTTAACTAATCGTGACTCTCGCAACCATGGCGTATGAGCCAGGGTGACAGGACGGGGCTGGGTGGGGTGCTCCCTAACTTTTGGGCAATCTTATTTTTTGGGCAGACAGGTAAAGTGAAAACAAAAATTAATATTTCATCTAGTTGGCAAAATAAAGTGCCCGAAATCTAATAACACACTAATTTTACTTTTCTTTTAATTGAATACCACGAATTTGTACTGAATTGACTATGGATTAAAGCATTTTGTCTGGAGTCATTCTACTTTGTGCGAAATTTTTCGAGCATCGATTATTTTTTGTGGATGCAGCTGCATTAGTCTGATTGGGTGGTTGGAATTCAGGTCGGCATTGAATGGGATATGTTGAAAACCGATTGGAAACTTTAAAGTTGCTTAAATCATGGGTTAGAATAGTGTAACAGTGTAATTCTTCGATAATAACTAAAGACTGGAACCATCCTTGAGACTATTTATTACCGGAAAACATTTAACATCATATACAGAGATAATAGAAATATGGTTGGAATTCAGGTCGGCATTGAATGGGATATGTTGAAAACCGATTGGAAACTTTGAAGTTGCTTAAATCATTTGTTGCAGTTAAATTTTCAACTTTTTCTTGGGGAGCGCTAGGCCCCCATACCCCGCGACGATTGATTGGCTGTTTGGGAACTGGGATTAGGGTAAGTCACCTATTGGAACACATTGAAATGAAATGAAATGAAATGGAGTTTAACGTCCTACTGTTCTGCTCCTAATCTGGGCTAATGAAGACGGGCATACGCCATACAGTGTGCTATGAGGGAAATTTTGCCCGGACAGCGGCACTACGGCCTACTCTTATATCGAATTCCAACTGCCAAGGGATCTTTTATGTGCACTCCAATGTATACACGGGACCTCGGTTTTTCGTACCATCCGAACGACTAGACAGCTTTCCTTGTCAGCCCCTCCGTCCTGCATCACTGACAAGGGAGAACCACGCCGGAAAATCTGGATGAACTTTCTCGGCCAATGCAGGGATCGAACACCCGACCTCCAGGCTAGCGAGCTAGCGTCTTACCCACTTCGCCACGTGATCCCCTGGAACACATTGAAGTATCTGTATTCACGTATAGGGTCTGTGTCAAAACCCCCTCCGGTTGAAACCCCCTAGGTCATAACCCCCTTGGACTCAAATTAAAAAGGGACAAAACCTCCCTTTATATTTATTTATTTATTTTATTAATTTATTTCATTTATTTATTATCATTTAAAAAAAAAGTATTTGAAAAATAAACAAGCCAACAGTGAGGCTGATGTCCCCCGCCGAAATAGGAAAATAATTAGAGGACACATATAAATTTATCACAAATTATCTTTTACAAAGTATTGAACAATCAAACAGTATATCTTTACTTATAGTCTAAGCATACAATGTTTTTGATGGAATAATTATAGCATATTAAGGGGAAAACATGCTCTATGCCTACAGATCTAGAGTTTGGTTGTATCAACGGGTCTATTTTCCATCTTGCTGCAAGTTGTGCAAAGTTCACTGTTTTCTTTCTGTCATTAAATGTCAATTCATTATTGCATACTACATATTTAATTAATTTATAATAGTTTCTTTTTCAATTTGTTTTTTCCATTTATTTGTTTATTTACCTTGCCTATATTCATTGTATTGGATTGTATTGGAATTGCTCAATTGATCGATCTTAGTCAAGGTATTACTGTAATGAAACTATACACCAAGTTTCATCACTCTCACTTAATTAGAACTAAAGTTATAGTGTCCCAAAGCATCAACCAATCAAATTGTTTATCTCTGCTTACCCTAAGCGGAACGGACAGACAAACAGACAGACGGACGAACCCATTTTAATAGTTCCCTGCTTTCTTCGAAAGGCGGGGGACAATAAGCATGAACATTTACTCAATTCGAAGATCAACCAATCAAATTGTTTATCTCTGCTTACCATAAGCGGAACGGACAGACAGACAAACAGACAGACGGACGAACCCATTTTAATAGTTCCCTGCTTTCTTCGAAAGGCGGGGGACAATCAAAGTAGGAGAGTTATTGTTTTCCAAAGTCTCGACCAATCAAATTGCGTATCGCTCTGCTTACCCTGAGCAGAAAATGCTCATTATCAAACTTAGTCAAGGTATTACTGTAATGAAACTATACACCAAGTTTCATCAATCTCACTTAATTAGAACTAAAGTTATCGTGTCCCAAAGCATCAACCAATCAAATTGCTTATCTCTGCTTACCCTAAGCGGAAAATGCTCATCTTCGAACTCCATCAAGGCATTGACCTAATCAACACATACACCAAGTTTGAACATTCTAGCTCAATTAGGAAGAGAGTTATCGTGGCCCAAAGTATCAACCAATCAAATTGCTTATCTCTGCTTACCCTAAGCGGAAAATGCTCATCTTCGAACTCCATCAAGGCATTGACCTAATAAACACATACACCAAGTTTGAACATTCTAGCTCAATTAGGAAGAGAGTTATCGTGTCCCAAAGCATCAACCAATCAAATTGCTTATCTCTGCTTACCCTAAGCGGAAAATGCTCATCTTCGAACTCCATCAAGGCATTGACCTAATCAACACATACACCAAGTTTGAACATTCTAGCCCAATTAGGAAGAGAGTTATCGTGTCCCAAAGCATCAACCAATCAAATTGCTTATCTCTGCTTACCCTAAGCGGAAAATGCTCATCTTCGAACTCCATCAAGGCATTGACCTAATAAACACATACACCAAGTTTGAACATTCTAGCTCAATTAGGAAGAGAGTTATTGTGTCCCAAAAAGTGTGACGGACAGACAGACGGACAGACAGACAGACAGACGGACGAACCCATTTTAATAGTCCCCTGCTTTCTTCGAAAGGCGGGGGACAAATATTATTATTTAAAAAAAATATGATGACCAACTAGGACAACTGACCACACAATTAACATAATATACTATTCAAAAAAAGTAGGGGATATTTGATTTTTAAGTGTTATTAAAGTCACCTAATGAAACTGACGAAGAAACAAATGATCGTTAGACTAAGTAAGGCACAGACTGACCATTATAAGGGTAAAATGATACCCGGGGTCAAACAGCAAAGTTACCACAGCATCACAACCAAGTCAGTAACGGGTAAATCCTCCTCTGTTTGCCAAACAAGCATTGATCCGACGTGGCATACTCCTAATGAAACGTCTATGGTCATTTTGGTCCAGATTGTCCCATTCCTGTTGCAACGCAGCAGCAAGTTCTTGGACATTGGCAGGACGTTGTTGACGTTGACGTAACCTCTGTCCAAGCATGTCCCAGACATGCTCGATGGGGGAGAGGTCGGGACTCAGTGCTGGCCAAGGTAATGTGGTGATGTTCTGTTGTTGGAGGTA